CAGCGCGAACAGTAGGGTAGGGGCACTGCAGTTATAGAGGCGCTGCTCTTACCGGACATGGCGGCTTGGGCGGCTCGGCGGCTCGGCGGCTCAGCAACAACTGCGGCTCGGCGACTCGGCGGCACAAGCGGCTCGGGCGGCTCGGGCGGCTCGGCGACTCGGCAGCTCGACGGCTCCGCGTAGTGCGGCGGCTCGGGCGGCTCGGGTGGCGGACGGCTCGGCAGCAGGCGGCGGCGCCGGCGGCTCGCTGGTGACGGCGTAACCGCGTGGGGACGGCGGCGGGGCCGTCAGAGGCGGCGCAGGGGCCGCAAGGTAGGCGACGTGGCCGGGAAGGGCAGCGCCGGGGCCGCAGGTAGGCGACGGGGCCAGCAGAGGCGGGGCCGGGTCGGGAAGGGCGGCGTCAGGGCCGAGATGGGCGGCGCCGGGGCCGCGGGGTAGGCGACAGAGCCGCAGGGCGGCAGATCGGGGCTGGGAAGGGCGGCGCCAGGGCCGCGGGGTAGGCGACGGGGTCGGAGGGCGGCGGATCGGGGCCGGGAAGGGCGGCGCCGGGGCCGCGGGGTAGGCGACGAAGCCGCTAGGGCGGCGGATCGGGGCCGGGAAGGGCGGCGCCGGGGCCGCAGAGGTAGGCGACGGGGCCGCTAGGGCGGCGGATCGGGGCCGCAAGGGCGGCGCGACGCAGCCGCTAGGGCGGCGCGACGGGATCGAGAGAGGGGAGCGCGACTCGGGCAAGGGGTGAGCGCGCTCCGGGTAGGAAAAAAAAATCGAATCGGTGGGCCCTAGGAACAGTTCCCACGAGGGAACCTGCTCGATACCATGAGAAAACTAGAACGAGAATGATTGAACTATGAAACAGTTGGGTACAAGTACTAACCCTAATTGGGTTGTACCCCTTATGGGCTACCCCACTACAGCCTACACAAATGTATAAACTATACTGTTCTGACACGTATCCCTTCCAGCGTATCAAGACCCTCGAGGGTCTTACCGTTGCGGCGCCGATGTGTGAGAACGCGCTCGATCTCGTACTCGGGTTCATCCTGTATGAGAACAGGAGGTGGTGGCGGTAGTTGCCGTCCCTGGAACTGTTGGTTGGGGTCCTTGTAGGGTTTCAGTAGCTGGACATGGAAAGCATTGTGAAGCTTCCATTTTTCTGGTAAGCGCAAGCGGAATGTTACTGGTGTCACCTGTGCCTCAACGAGAAAAGGACCACAGAAGCGAGGCCGGAGTTTGGATGGGAGGTGAGACAGGTTCAAGTTGCGCGTGTCAAGAAGCACTTGATCTCTGACTGCTACTGAGTGATCTCGTCGCTGACGATCGGCATACTGCTTCTAGGAGTTCTGCATCGTGGTGAGATGTCGCTGAGTCTTCTCCCATAGCTGCTGCATGGTGGTGACGAAGTCATGTGCGACGTGGACGTGTGCCGGTGTGGTTGGCTGCTGTGGTGTGAGTGGTTCCTGTCCGTAGCACAGGAAGAAAAGAGATTCCCCTGTGGCCGCGTGTGAAGCGTTGTTGTAAGCGAACTCAAGGGTCGGTAACTGTATGTCCCAGTGGCTGATGTCGTCTGTGCAAGCTGTGCGCAGTAACTGTTTAACCACTTGATTGAGTCGCTCGGTCTGTCCGTCAGTTTGGGGGTGGTATGCTGAAGACATTGCAAGCTCTATCCCCAACAATCCCATGAGTTCCTTCCAGAACTTACTAGTGAATTTTGGGTCTCTGTCTGAGATGAGTGTAGCGGGGATGCCATGGATGGTGATGATGCGGTCGAAGAAGAGGCGAGCAGTTGGTTCAGCTGTAGCCGTAGCGTTGGTCGGGATGAAGTGTCCCATTTTAGAGAACTTGTCGATCACCACGAGTATAGCGTCATGCCCTCGTGAGGTCGAAGGTAGCCCAGTGATGAAGTCTAGGCTGACGACCTGCCATGGCTGCTCCGGTACAGGTAGAGGCTGAAGTAACCCTGCTTTTTTCTGCTTGCTACTCTTCATCCGCTGGTACGTGTCGCAAGAGGTGACGAACTGCTGCACGTCTGCTGCCATCCCAGGCCAGTAGTAATACTTCGCGATCCCTGCTAACGTCTTGTTGCTCCCGAAATGTCCCGCGTAAGGTACATCGTGAAATTCCTCCAATAGGATCTGCCGTAGCGGGGCGTAATTCGGTACCCAAATCTTTCCTTAACCCTTCCTTACAGCTAAATCCTTCTTCCATTGTAACAGCTTTTTACTGAGGTAGGCGATGGGCTGCAAACTACATTCGTGATGCTGCATCAGTACTTCTCCAACTGCTTGGTCACTAGCGTCTGCTTCCACCATGTAGTCTCTGTCTGGATCTGGTAGGATGAGTACTGGCGCTGTAGTCAGTGCTGTCTGTTTGTTCAGTGCGCGGTAGTCGATGCACATCCGTAAGCTACCGTCTGGTTTTGGAGTGAGGAGAACTGGTGCACCGTAGGGAGAGGTGGATGGGCGGATCAGTTGTCTGTCCAGTAGATACTCAATCTGTTTTTTCATGTCTGTCAGTTCGGTCGGACTCAGTCGGTATGGTGCTTGTGAGACGGGTTTCGCACATCCGTAGATGGTATCGCTTATAGGATCGTAGGGTACGTCGAATATGTTATCCCTAGGTCCTGCGCTCGAAGATGCAGCTTCGGTATCAGTTTTCAACTGAGAAAGGTTAGAAGGATTTATCTAAGGCCGATTCGGCTTCTCTTGGGCCTGGAACCTTCCACTACGCCTTTGCAGCTGTGTAGGCTTCATTTGTGGGGAACAGGGAGCCTTTAAACAGTGCCGCTGGGAGAGAATATTAACTCCTCGGAACGCTCGACCCGTATTAGCGCTCTGGAGTAGGGTCCCCATAATACCCGGTACCGGTTTAATTTCTGACTCTCCCTTAATAAAGGCTTGAAACCCACGAGAAGTAATATTCTTACTTGTCGGGGTATACGGTTGGAGTTTCCCGGTCGGTGCAAGGTCTTGTTTCGCGGATCCTCCATTAGTCTCGGGGATTTCCCCTGGTGCCGGCTGGTCGTGACGTTTTAAATTTGCGCCACCATATTCTTCTTTTTTTGCCCTCTCCGAAGTTGCCACGTTGTCCGTTTTCTGCTTCGGGGGTGCCGCACTGTTCTTGTCCTTCAGCTCCGCACACCTTCTCTTCATTTTCCAACACGCCAAGATATGATGTCCTGTAGCGTCGCAAAATTTGCACGTCTCATTATTTGCTAGCCGCTGCTCCACATCGCCCTCGTCGTTCTCCATCGGGTCGGCAGTCGTGGGTGGTGCCAATCGCCCCATGCCACTAGTTGGCTTGTTGCGTCGTGTTCCGTAGTAGCTACTGTTCAACGTGTCCAACTGTTCGATCAGTGCTGCTGGAAACTGCGCCCACGTCTCCTCGCCTTGGACTATTCTGTTGTTGATCCACTCTAGAGCTGGGCCTCGTAACAGTGTTGCTGCGAGCCGTATGCGCATTGCGTCTTTTGTCGAGGTCGTGCATCCAACGGCTTTGAAGTAAATTTTGAGTTCAGCTACAAATCGACGAACGTCGTTCCTTTTTACTGTAGGATCGAACGCCTCCGGTAGCCTCGGCTTCACTGCTTCGAGGTTAACTGTAGCTACTGCTGTTGTCGCATGTAGAACTGTCGGTGTTGCCGCTGCTACTGCTGCTACTGATGTCGCTGCTGCTGTGGCGGTTGCCGACTGGTTCGCAAGGAGTTTTTTGAGTCGTGGGAGCGCCGCATGTATTTGCTTATCCTCAGTACGTAACTCCGCGATTTTCTGTACTGAAATATCTCCTTTTCCCTCCATTTGGCGATTTACAGAAAGATGCGCGACGAAAATAATCGAATTCTTGGTGCTAGTCAACCTACTACGAGTCAAGTTGACTGTAGAATCGACGAGCGCAAATTTTATAGGTCGCGTAAATCTCCCTTGGGCGAAATTTGCGTCCGATCTTGGCGGTTGAGGAGAAAATAAATCCGACGCTACAAATTCCAACCTTTTTGGGCGAAATTCTCTGGGCCGTTGAGATGAAACTCGATCGAATAATCGAAACTCCAACCCTTCCACCAGTAAATCTGAGGGGTGTTCGAAAACCGAATCGAGGGGGACTTAGAAAAATTGCGCGGAACTGGTTTTACATACCCGTATCGGCGCTTTCGTCGTCGCCCCCGCGGTTTTTTTTAAGGCCGGAACTAAGCGGTTGAAGACCTCGCGTGAAAACCCGCTCTGATTACCAAGTGTGAGGATCTAGGATCGAGCTCAGAAAAGATGATTCGAATTGAATTGAATCGAATTGAATGAATCACCTGGGTACAACACGAGGCTATATATAAGCTCGACACAAGGCCCTGTAACCAGGTGTTACGCGAAGGTTCCGCGGGTCGCGAAGCGTCCCGAACAGATCCTTCCCGAATTCGGTAGGAGGCAATTCGGTGGCAACCGAAAAGCCAAAATTCGGTGCACGCAACCTAGCTCGGTGCTATAACTATAATAAAATATAGAAAAGCACCTAGCCTAGGAAATCATGTGATAATGAACGAAAATGAATGCACTATGAAAGAGTTGGGTACAAGTACTAACCCTAATTGGGTTGTACCCCTTATGGGCTACCCCACTATAGCCTACACAAAAGCATAAGCTATGATGTTCTAACACACCCCCATAGACAAAGTGGGGGAGAACAAGGGGTCACAAGACCAGTCAAGCAAAGCAAAGCAAGCTTAGGGTGGATCACAAAGTCACCACACATTCCGAGCACAAGTTCAAGGCCACAAGGCCAGTTCACATGCAGGAGTACATATATATAAAAGGCTAGACAAGCAAGAGCAGGTGTATATACATATGTAACAGTACAAGCAAGGTCAAGAGGTGACCAAGTGAGGCAAGGCAGATACAAGACCCAGCTGAGTACAGAAGCGCTGATGATCACAAGGCTCAAGCGCCTTGGTGAAGATATCAGCAGTGTTGGCCTCAGAGGCCACGTACGCAAGACGCAGCTGACCACGCTGCTGTAGCTCACGAGCAAGGAAGTATCTTAAGAGGAATGTGCTTCGTTCTGTGCTCCAGTCGCTGCTCCCGACACAAGGCCAGCATGGCCTTGTTGTCTACGTACAGCTCTGGAGGAGAACGAGGCGGCTCTCCGAGGTTAGTCAGCAAGTAGGTGAGCCAGCGAAGCTCCTGAGCAGCCATGGCTCCTGCGTAGATCTCAGCCTCACAACTGGAGCCGAGAACAAAAGACGAGCGAGTAGCCCGCCACGAAACAGAGCCGGAACTAAGGCTGAAGGTGTAACCCTGTGACGACCGCTGCGTAGCCTGGTCGTCAGCCCAAGAAGCGTCTGCGTGCCCAGCTAGGATCACTGGACTCTGCCCTCCAAGCACAAGCCCCATGCCCGACGTACTGCACAAGTAGCGCAACACCCTCTTCGCTGCAGCCATGTGCTCTGGTCGGTGTCTCCCAAGAGCAACATGGCGTGCGAGAATGCTAAGAGGGTATGCAAGGTCAGGTCGTGTGCAGGTCATCAGGTACATGAGGCAGCTAACAAGCTCTGGGTACGGGCCACTCGGCTCTATAGACTCATCCAAAGGCAGAGCTGAGAGCGACTGGCGAGTAGGCAGAGGAGTGGCCTGAGGCGAGGAGTACGTGAAGCCGAAGCGCTGAAGGACCTGCTGCACCATGTGTGACTGAGTCAGGGTAATGGTGCGGCGTGCTCTGCTACAAGCCATGGTAGCTGCGCAGTTCACCCAGGTCAGTGCACGTGTGTCTCTTCTGCAGCTCGGACTTCATATGGGTGAGTCCAGCAATGTCAGCTGTGGCAAAGACCAAGTCGTCGACGTACACGGGGATGTAGAACGGCGGCAGAGAAGTGTCAGTGCGCAGAAACAACGACGGGTCGGCAGTAGAGGGAGCAAACCCAAGAGCCGCAAGTGTAGGCCTCAGTGTGTCGTGCCACTCACACGGTGCCTGGCGAAGACCGTAGACTGGCCGCCGGAGGCTCCACTGGGTGCCAGGAGGAAAAGTCCCAGTGAAGCCAGGTGGGCGGCGCAGCCAGATCTCCTCGTGCAGGCTGCCCGGTAGGAAAGCAGTGCTGAAGTCAAGAGAGTGTAGCTCGTAGTCACGGTGAGCAGCTACGTGCAGTAGTATCCGAAGAGTGGTCATCTTCGAGGTGGGAGAGAAGGTCTGAAAGTAGTCAACTCCCTGCCGCTGACTGAAGCCACGAGCCACGTAACGCGCCTTGAAGACAGGCGAAGAACCCGGTGGCCGCTTCACCCTGAAAATCCACATGCCACTGACGATGTTCGCCCCAAGCGGGGGAACCTCGTCAACGTAGGTGCCTGTGGACTTCTAGGAAGCCATCTCTGCGTCCATAGCTGCCTGCCACTGAGAGGAGTAGGGACCCTCTATCGCCTCCGCGTAAGAGCGTGGAGTCTGGATGTCAAGTGCATCCGGATCTCCCTCAAGGGTAAGCAGTATGGACACGAGATGAGGTGAAGCTGCGACCAAGCACTGAAACTCCTCCTGCCTGTCCTCAAGAACGTCCGTGCCAAGGGCACACTCACCCCCGAGGGACGGAGGACAGACAGACTCAGACTCAGCAACAAGACTGGTGGCGTAGTCTAGGCGACAGCGAGCAGCAAAGTCGACGAGCTCAGCAACTAGGGCAGACGCAGCAGTGGACTCAAAGGAAGGGTCACTGACGACAGTAGCAAGGAGACGCGTGACTGGCAGCACGAAGAGAGTGCGACTCCGGGTCGGCAAGAGCAGGAAGAGAAGACTCAGGAGCAGAAGGTAAAGGGGCACGAAGAGGAGCAGTGGACGGACGCAGAGACATCCGGTGCGTGCCAGGGACAGGAGGAGGATGCTGCCGCGAACCGCGACCACTAGTGCGAGCAGCACGGACAGGCGACGCAGGGCGAGACGCAGGCTCACGACGCTCAGAAAGACCTCCAGTAGGACCAGTGTAGGGAGACGGAGCAGGCAGTGGGGAGGCGGGCTGTAACTGTAACTATGATGGGACAGGCTGTGGACACTCTAAGGGAGGAAGAGGACCAGTAGAAGGCGGGAGACCATGAACCTGCTAAAGGAGACGAACGAAGTACGGCCGAGGCCGCGCGGCGACTCCAGACACAGCAGGGACAGCACCAACACCCCCAGCGGCAGCACCAGCACCAGCAGAACCTCCAGCTCCAGTACCTCCAGCAGCACCAGTAGCACCCCTAGCAGGACCGCCTCGAGGACCGACAGCAGTAGCCTCCGCGCCAACACCCGCAGCAGCTCCAGCTCCAGAAGTACCCGCAGGTCCAGCAGCTCCAGTACTCCCAGTACGAGCACCTCCGGGACCCGCGGCACCAGCACCCTGAGCAGCAGCAGAACCTCCAGTACCTGCAGCACCTCCAGCTCTAGCAGCTCGCCTCCAGCGCTGGGCAAACCACTCACGCAGCTCCTGTGGAGAGAGTGGCTCCCGGCGAGACGAAGCACCCGGAGAACCGCTAGGCACAACACCGCCAGACGCCACACGAGCAGGCCCAGCTCCCTCAAGCTCAGCACCTCCAGGCGTAGCACCCCCAGGCGTAGCACCCCCAGGCTCAGCACCCCCAAGCTCAGCACTCCCTGGCTCAGCACCCCCATGCTCAGCACCCCCAAGCTCAGCACCCCTAGGCTCAGCACCACCAGGCTCAGCACCCCCAGGCTCAGCACCCCCAGGCGTAGCACCCACACGCTCAGCACCCCCAGAGTCAGCACCCCCAGGCTCAGCACCCTCAGCAGCACCAAAGTCACCAGCGACCTCGACAGGCTCAACAGCGTCTACATGGGACACACCTGAAGGGGCAGGACCCTGAGGGGGGAGGGGGTTTACCGGGGGGGGACCTGGCACAAGGAAGAGCGGTGGCGGGGGGAGGGACGGAGTGCGGTAGGGGAAGAGACGGTAGTAGGGGACCGACTCGTCGAACGTGACGTCCTGGGAGGACAGAACACGGCGAGAGGTGGGGTGGTAGAAGTGCCACCCTGGCGCGTCAGGGGGGAAACCTAGGAAGACGTAGGGAGCAGCACGAGGGGACAGCTTGTCCGCAGACAAGTCGCGGACAAACACCCGAGATCCCCAGACACGGAACACAGACGCATCGCCAACCTTCCCCGTCCACAGCAAAGCTGGGGAGGTCTCCGGCATGGAGACCCTGGGCTGAAGGTTGATCTGATGCGCCGCGTACCGGACCGCAAACGGCCACAGAAAATGGGGGGCAGCCGCATGCATCATGGACGTATGGGCGACGTCCATGACCATGCCAATGCGGCGCTCAGCAATCCCACTTTGCTGTGGAGAGTCCGGAAGCGTGAAGGTCTGGCGGATGCCTCGTGCACGACAGTAGGCTCGCAGAAGGCCAGAGGAGAACTCTCCGCCTCTGTCAGAGTGCAGACGCAGAACAGGAAAGTCCGAGCCGAAGCTCCGCCTGAGCTGGAGTCGAGCTGCGCGGATCCAGTCGATCAACACCTCAGTGACATCACCCTTGCTGCGCAAGGGGAAGACTGTGGTGTAACGCGAGTAGTCGTCAACCACCAGCAGGAAGTAGCGCTCGTGACCCTGTCCACGGACGCGGGCCGGGCCCCACACGTCCATGTGAAGCGTCTGCAGCGGGGCCTCTGTCGGAGGAAACAGAGAGGAGTGAGGGGCAGCTGGCTGCCGCCCCTCGACACAGGGGACGCAGGTAGGGCCAGGCCCCGGAGGAAGGGGAGGGAGGGACCGGGGAAGACCAGAGACAAGGACACGGGAGGCCATGCTTCGGAGACGAAGCAGGGAGGGGTGACCAAGGCGGTGGTGCCAGAGGAGAGTCTCGTGAGACAGGAGACGACACGAGAAGGGGGCAGACTCAGGACCAGACCTGGACGCTGCAGCAAACACCTGACTCGACGCAGCTACCTGACCAGACGCAGTGACTGGAGGAGACGCAGTGGTCAGTGTGTACAGGCTCGACCTCGGCCGACGTGTAAACGTGGCCAGGTGTCGGCCTGTCCGAGCGTCCGTGCAGTGGGTCACCCGCTGACTCGCAGGAGTGAACTGGTGAACCCCCGCATCCTGTAGGTCAGCACCACTCACCAAGTTCGTAGAGAACGAGGGGAGGTAAAGACCAGACAGGGTGCCAGAGGGGGCCGCCGTACACGGGAGGACAGTGGAGAAGTGAGCAAGGACAGGGCCCCCAGAGGGGTTTCTTTGCTTCCTCCTTTGCTTCCTCCTTTGCTTCTTCCCTTTCTTCCTCGTTTTCCTTCTCACTTGCTCCCTCCTTCAATTTCGCCTTCACTCCCTCCATTCCGTCCTCCTTCATAGTGACACGAGTTTCAGCCCCATCAACACCAATAGCACCACCCGCAGCAGCACCTGCTTCAGCTTTCACACCCGCAGTCATGCCATCCCCCTCAGCACCCTCTTGCGCTGATGCTGCCTTCGCTTCTGCTGCCTTCCTCTCTGCCCTCCTCTCCTCCCTAACACATGCCGTCTCACCCATGGCATCCCCACCATTAGTGGTCACAGCACCAGGTCTGGTAGGTGCATCAGCAGGGTTGGTGGGCGCATCAGCAGGTTTGGTGGTTGCAACACCAGGATTGGTGGGTTGGGCAGGCGATGGGGCAGGTGGATCGGCCGGGATGTCCTCGAGGGTAAGGCCAATCATGTTGCGCGGCGGGACGGGTGGCAGCGACAGCTCAGCGCATGCCACGTCAGCGAGGCCCAATTTATCGTCATTGATGATGTCACTCCACTGCCCGTAGCCGTGCCTGCAAGGAAGGGGAGAGGAGGAGGTGAGGGGGAGGTGAGGGGGAGGTGAGTAGAGGTGAGTGGGAGGTGAGTGGGAGGTGAGTGGGAGGTGATGGAGAGGTGAGTGGGAGGTGAGTGGGATGGGAATGAATGATGATAGGGGTTAGAACGAAAACCATGGGTGCAAGTGGGAACTGGCCGTCCTTTGTGATGTCACTCCACTGCCCGTAGCTGTGCTCGCGTGGAATTGCTTGAGGGGGGGGGGGGGGGAGAGGGGATGGGAAGGAGGCAGGGGTCGAGGGCAAGGAGGAGTGGCATGGTTATCGTTGATTGTGGTGATGTCACTCCACCACCCGTAGCAGTGAATATGTGAAATTGAGAAGGGGGCGGGAGAGGTGGATGGGGGAGGGGTGAGAAGGAGTGATGGCTGGCTGGTATGCGCAAGGAAGAACGAGAAGCATGGGTGTGCCTGGCAGACTTTCATTAGTGATGATGCCACTCCACCACCCATAGCTCACTTGGTGATGCCTTTCAGCAGCTGCAGGTCGTGCTCTGGAAAGGTGAAATGCATACGCAACGCGTATTCCGTGACTCCTTTCAGCACTGCAACTCACTTGGTGATGCCTTTCAGCAGCTGCAGGTTGTGCTCGGCCCGCCAGAGTAGTGTGAGCAAGGGAAGCAGGGAGGCAGAAGAGATAGAAAGTCAACAGGCGTGAGCAAGGGGAGCAGTGCACTGACATAGGTAAGTCAGCCGCCACTCACCTGGTAACGCCTTTCACAACTCACCTGGTGATGCCTTGCAGCAGCTGCAGGTCGTGCTCGGCCCGCCACTATCGCGTGCGGAAAAGCGGTGACAGCTGGCTGTGGCTCTTCAGGTGCTCTGGCAGGCCTGGCAGCAACTCCTCCCAGCCCATCTCCACCGCTTCCTCCTTTTCTTCCACCCCCTCTTCCTTTTCACCCTGCTTCTTTTCACCCTCCTTTTTTTTACCCTCCTTCTTTTCTCCCTCCTTTTCTCCCTCCTCCTTTTCACCCTCCTTCTCGTCACCCTCCTTCTTGTCACCCTCCTTCTTGTCACCCTCCTTCTTGTCACCCTCCTTCTTTTCACCCTCTTGCTTTCCACCTTCTCCCTCTCCCGTCTCTCCCTCTCCAGTATCTCCTTCACCCTGCGCACCCGGCTCACTGTTTCCCTCCTCCCGCTTCTCATGCCCCTCCCCATCTCCCTCCATGCCCCCCATTTCTGAAGGTCCATCCCCCTTCCCTTCCCCCACCACCCCTCCACGCTCCCTCTCTCCCTTCTCACCCCCTTCCCCACCAGCCAAAGTCACGCCCTCCATTTCTGAAGGTCCATCCCCTTTTCCTTCTCTCACCGCGCCTCTGCGCACTTCCTCTCCCGCCTTCCTAACAGCCTCTTCTTTCCCAAAAGGTGCTGCTGCTGCTGCTGCTGCTGCTGCTGCTGCGGCGTCTGCAGCTGCTTCCTCTTTTGTTGTTGCGCCTCCCGCTGCTGCCTCTGCGACCCTACGATCTGCACTACTCGCGTCTACATCCCTAAGCTCATAAGCTCTAGTCATCTCTCATTCACCAAAATGGCCCATAAGCTCATAAGCTCTAGTCATCTCTCATTCACCAAAAAGGTTTATAAGCTCATAAGCTCTGGTCATCTCTCATTCACCTAAAAGGCCCATAAGCTCATAAGCTCTAGTCATCTCTCATTCACCAAAAAGGTTCATAAGCTCATAAGCTCTAGTGATCTCTCATTCACCAAAAAGGTTCATAAGCTCATAAGCTCTATCTTTCATTCACCAAAAAGGTTCATAAGCTCATAAGCTCCAGTCATCTCTCACTCACCAAAAAGGTTCATAAGCTCATAAGCTCTAGTCATCTCTCATTCACCAAAAAGGTTCATAAGCTCATAAGCTCTAGTCATCTCTCATTCACCAGAAAGGTTCATAAGCTCATAAGCTCTAGTCATCTCTCATTCACCAAAACGGTTCATAAGCTCATAAGCTCTAGTCATCTCTCATTCACCAAAAAGGCTCATAAGCTCATAAGCTCTAGTCATCTCTCATTCACAAAAAAGGTTCATAAGCTCATAAGCTCTAGTCATCTCTCACTCACCAAAAAGGTTCATAAGCTCATAAGCTCTAGTCATCTCTCATTCACCTAAAAGGCCCATAAGCTCATAAGCTCTAGTCATCTCTCATTCACCAAAAAGGCTCATAAGCTCTAGTCATCTCTCATTCACCAAAAAGGTTCATGAGCTGATAAGCTCTACTCATCTCTCATTCACCAAAAAGGTTCATAAGCTCATAAGCTCTAGTCATCTCTCATTCACCAAAAAGCTTCATAAGCTCATAAGCTCTAGTCATCTCTCATTCACCAAAATGCCCATAAGCTCATAAGCTCTAGTCATCTCTCATTCACCAAAAAGGTTCGTAAGCTCATAAGCTCTGGTCATCTCTCATTCACCAAAAAGGTTCATAAGCTCATAAGCTCTAGTCATCTCTCATTCACCAAAAAGGCTCATAAGCTCTACTCATCTCTCATTCACCAAAAAGGTTCATGAGCTCATAAGCTCTAGTCATATCTCATTCACCAAAAAGGTTCCTAAGCTCATAAGCTCTAGTCATCTCTCATTCACCAAAAAGGCTCATAAGCTCATAATCTCTAGTCATCTCTCACTCACGAAAAAGGTTCATAAGCTCATAAGCTCTAGTCGTCTCTCATTCACCAAAAAGGTTCATAAGCTCATAAGCTCTAGTCATCTCTCACTCACAAAAAAGGCTCGTAAGCTCATAAGCTCTAGTCATCTCTCATTCACCAAAAAGGCTCATAAGCTCATAAGCTCTAGTCATCTCTCATTCACCAAAAAGGCCCATAAGCTCATAAGCTCTAGTCATCTCTCATTCACCAAAAATGTTCATAAGCTCATAAGCTCTAGTCATCTCTCATTCACCAAAAAGGTTCATAATCTCATAAGCTCTAGTCATCTCTCATTCACCAAAAAGGTTCATAAGCTCATAAGCTCTAGTCATCTCTTATTCACCAAAATGGCCCATAAGCTCATAAGCTCTAGTCATCTCTCATTCACCAAAAAGTTTCATAAGCTCATATGCTCTAGTCATCTCTCATTCACCAAAAAGGCTCATAAGCTCATAAGCTCTAGTCATCTCTCATTCACCAAAAAGGCTCATAAGCTCTAGTCATCTCTCATTCACCAAAATGGCTCATAAGCTCATAAGCTCTAGTCATCTCTCATTCACCAAAAAGGTTCATAAGCTCATAAGCTCTAGTCATCTGTCATTCACCAAAAAGGTTCATAAGCTCATAAGCTCTAGTCATCTCTCATTCACCAAAAAGGTTCATAAGCTCATAAGCTCTCGTCATCTCTCATTCACCAAAAAGGTTCATAAGCTCATAAGCTCTATATTGGGACACGCTAGGGAAGCATGTCATGGGGCTGGCTCAAGACTTCGCTCTCACCTCTATACTCCCGACCAGTGTGAAGGATGCAGTGACAATACTCATGCACAAAAAAGGAGCAAAGGACCAGTTGGATAACTATCGTCCTATCACGCTCCTGAACATCAGCTACAAAGTGTTGGCGCGAGTCCTGGCGAGCAGAATTAAAAAAGTTCTTCACAGAGTGATCTCACCGGAGCAGTTCAGTTTTATTCCGGGGCGACGAATATCAGATGCAGTGGGGCTGGTCGCTGATATCATTGATGCGGCCAAGAATGGGAGAGAAGACTGGTATATGCTGTTGGTTGACTTCAAGAAGGCGTTTGACTCGGTGTCCCGCGACTTCATTTTTGACGTGATGGGGAAAATGGGTTTCCCGGCTCGGTTCGTCGGTTGGGTAAGAGGCCTGCACACAAACACACGGACGAACCTCTTGATCAACGGCTGGATGGGAGATGCAGTGGAGGTGGTTTCAGGAGTAAGGCAGGGTTGCCCCTTAGCACCCTACCTCTTCCTCTGTGCGGTGGAGCCTCTGGCGCAGAAAGTGATAAAGCGGAAGATTGGAATCTCGCTCACTAGCTGCGTCGGTCAGAGGCTAGGCTATATTGGTTATGCAGATGACACGACTCTCCTTCTACAAGGAGAACAACAAATTAGGAAGGCGGAGGAGGTGTTAGAGGAGTTTAAAGAAATCTCGGGATTAGAGACGAACAAGGGGAAGTCAGTGGTGATGCCTTTGGGAGCTAACCTGGGGAAAAAGACTTGGCGGACCAACGGGTTTCGTTGGGCAGACCCTGACGAAGCTGAGAGACTCACCGAACGGAAGTTGTCAGCCGACGTGGGATAAGGCGCTGCAAAAAATTGCTGGGAAAATGACGTTGTGGCAGCCGCAATTCTTCCCGATTAAGGCTCGGACAGCGGTGATGGACGGGTACATACTGCCGATTGCTTGGTCCCAGGCTCAGGTTTATCCGCCGTCTGTGCAAACCTGGAGAGAGATCACGAAAATGACGCAAAATTTCATGTCACCGAACAAGGTATCATCGGAGAAATGCTTCAACCTCATAAGCTCTAGTCATCTCTCATTCACCAAAAAGGTTCATAAGCTCATAAGCTCTAGTCATCTCTCATTCACCAAAAAGGCTCATAAGCTCTAGTCATCTCTCATTCACCAAAAAGGTTCATGAGCTCATAAGCTCTAGTCATCTCTCATTCACCAAAAAGGTTCATAAGCTCATAAGCTCTAGTCATCTCTCATTCACCAAAAAGGTTCATAAGCTCATAAGCTCTAGTCATCTCTCATTCACCAAAAAGGTACATAAGCTCATAAGCTCTAGTCATCTCTCACTCACCAAAAGGGTTCATAAGCTCATAAGCTCTAGTCATCTCTCATTCACCAAAAAGGTTCATAAGCTCATAAGCTCTAGTCATCATTCATTCACCAAAAAGGCTCATAAGCTCATAAGCTCTAGTCATCCCTCATTCATCAAAAAGGTTCATACACTCATAAGCTCTAGTCATCTCTCATTCACCAAAAATGTTCATAAGCTCATAAGCTCTAGTCATCTCTCATTCACCAAAAAGGTTCATAAGCTCATAAGCTCTAGTCATCTCTCATTCACCAAAAAGGTTCATAAGCTCATAAGCTCTAGTCATCTCTCATTCACCAAAAAGGCCCATAAGCTCATAAGCTCTAGTCATCTCTCATTCACCAAAAAAGTTCATAAGCTCATAAGCTCTAGTCATCTCTCATTCACCAAAAAGGCTCATAAGCTCATAAGATCTAGTCATCTCTCATTCATCGAAAAGGTTCATAAGCTCATAAGCTCTAGTCATCTCTCATTCAACAAGAAGGTTCATAAGCTCATAAGCTCTAGTCATCTCTCATTCACCAAAAAGGTTCATAAGCTCATAAGCTCTAGTCATCTCTCATTCACCAAAAAGGTTCATAAGCTCATAAGCTCTAGTCATCTCTCATTCACCAAAAAGGCTCATAAGCTCATAAGCTCTAGTCATCTCTCATTCACCAAAAATGCTCATAAGCTCATAAGCTCTAGTCATCTCTCATTCACCAAAAAGGCTCATAAGCTCATAAGCTCTAGTCATCTCTCACTCACCAAAAAGGTTCATAAGCTCATAAGCTCTAGTCATCTCTCATTCACCAAAAAGGCTCATAAGCTCATAAGCTCTAGTCATCTCTCATTCACCAAAAAGGCTCATAAGCTCATAAGCTCTAGTCATCTCTCACTCACCAAAAAGGTTCATAAGCTCATAAGCTCTAGTCATCTCTCACTCACCAAAAAGGTTCATAAGCTCATAAGCTCTAGTCATCTCTCATTCACCAAAAAGGTTCATAAGCTCATAAGCTTTAGTCATCTCTCATTCGCTAAAAAGGCTCATAAGCTCATAAGCTCTAGTCATCTCTCATTCACCAAAAAGGCTCATAAGCTCATAAGCTCTAGTCATCTCTCATTCACCAAAAAGGTCCATAAGCTCATAAGCTCTAGTCATCTCCAATTCACCAAAAAGGTTCATAAGCTCATAAGCTCTGGTCATCTCTCATTCACCAAAAAGGCCCATAAGCTCATAAGCTCTAGTCATCTCTCACTCACCAAAAAGGTTCATAAGCTCATACGCTCTAGTCATCTCTCATTCACCAAAAAGGCTCATAAGCTCATAAGCTCTAGTCATCTTTCATTCACCAAAAAGGTTCATAAGCTCATAAGCTCTAGTCATCTCTCATTTAACAAAAAGGTTCATAAGCTCATAAGCTCTAGTCATCTCTCTTTCCCCAAAAAAGGTTCATAAGCTCATAAGCTCTAGTCATCTCTCATTCACCAAAATGGCTCATAAGCTCATAAGCTCTAGTCATCTCTCATTCACCAAAAAGGTTCATAAGCTCATAAGCTCTAGTCATCTCTCATTCACCAAAAAGGTTCATAAACTTATAAGCTCTAGTCATCTCTCACTCACCAAAAAGGTTTATAAGCTCATAAGCTCTAGTCATCTCTCATTCACCAAAAAATGTTCATAAGCTCATAAGCTCTAGTCATCTCTCATTCACCAAAAAAGCTCATAAGCTCTTAAGCTCTAGTCATCTCTCATTCAC